TGTTTGGTGAAATGTGAGTTGAGCACACTGTCAAGTACCTTAGCAACGATGGTCGCCAAAGAAATTGGCCTGTAGTTTGTCTTGTCTGCCATATCTCCTGTCCTATTTTTAGGTATGGGTACCACCAAAGTCCGCATCAACCCATGAGGAAGGTATGCGTGGCTTATACATAGATTGAATAACATGGCAAGTACACGAGGCAGGTGCCTGCCAGCATATCTCAGATGTTCAACACTGAGTCCGTCATGGCCAGGTGATCTACCGCCTGTCATTTTAGTGATAGCAATTTTTATATCCTTTGCAAGGACGACCGTGGTAATGTCGGTATGGCAGGCGTTAAACCCCCGACATGCCGGACCCAGCGGAGACTTTATTGAATAGTAATCCTTAAACATGTTGGCTATCTCCTTTGGAGTGGAGAGACCATCGACACTAACAGGAATACTAGGCTTTGTATTTGCACTATTAGTATATTTCCAGAACTTTTTGAAATTTGAACTCGTATGATGCTTTGCTAACTTATCCATTTTAATCTGGTCTTGGTTGTTTTGACACCATTTCAGTTTACTTTTAAATTGTTTCCGTGCCTGAATCATTTCATTAAATATTTCATTCTGTGTTGGTTTAATATGTTAGGGACACTATTATTATTGGGAAAATCTGAAGTACATTTAATCTTCCAACAGTAATATATCCTAAAGCAAAACACATATATTTCTAATCAAAACTAATAATTAAGATTTATGATAGCTATACATAGGCGCAAACTAACGAGTTACATAACTTAACAAGACAACTAGTAAATACTTCATGTTTCCCTCATTTGAAACCTGTAAGTGATGGAACATGTTCAGATACTGGTCGCTATCAGTACTGTATTATCTAGGTGCCCTAGGGTACCTATCTCAACACGATTGCTACCGTGTTAACGGCAACTAACTTTGTATATGTAACTACTAAACTTGTTGTAGGATATGGCTATTAATAATGTAATATCTATGTCTTATTGCTATAGTATTTTTTTTAAGCGGGGAAAATCATCGAATGACTGCTCCCGCCTGGGTGAGGCGCAAGGGAGTGTCAGACTCTTACTGACTAAAAACTACCCCGTTCCTTCTCCTGCACGTCGAGCCGGAGCCCCGGTTACCCGTTAGGTTCTCCTGTGACGTCACACGCTGTGACGTCACACGATATTTCAAATTAATATATCGTCGAAAGTATTTAATTTTGTTAGAAAAGAAAAAATACGTGTCTAAAGTTTTAAATCAATGTACCAGACGGACATTAAAATAAAATTTAGGAAACTACCCTATTAATGGCTGACTGTAACATAATATTTGTTTTGGTTTGAATAATGTTATAAACGATAAAAATAATAATTATATTGTTTTGCATTGATTTTTTTATAGTAAGTATAAATAAAAAATTTGATAGGTTGACGTTTGGCCTCCATGTCGCCTGGTGGTAAGCGATGATGTGGCCGACGATGGAGCATGCCTACCTATGTATAAGCAACCTGTTCCCTCGTACATTGATATAATTGTTATAGGATTGAGAGTATGGAAAAATAATAAAGACCAGACTGAAGATATGTAAACGATAAATGATATCAACATACAACGCTCTATTATACTCTCTTCCTTACGAAATCTGATGTTCATTAAATCAAAAACTGTAATCAATACCTATCAAAAAATTTATTTGTCAATGAGCAATATTTTCCAATCGAAGGCCGGTCTAATAAAGTAGTCCAACCATGCACTGAAGGGTTAGTGAGTTAAGCTGTTTTTGTTTCACCCTCAAACCGTTAAAACAATTATAAATTTTGCTACTAATTGTATATAATTTAGGCAATTGGGTTTTCCGAATTCTCCCGTTTATCAGAAGTTGGTACAAATATTTGTATGCCATACAAATTTTCCGCTTTGTTTAAGTTTGTCCCTACGGAAGTTTACTGGATGCGGACATTCGGTTTACGTCTATTCAACGGTCGATTAGTAGGGGCGATGGAAATTATATACCTATACATTTTTTTGTTTATATTTTCAGTTGTTTTCGAGTTTTTAAATGAATAAAAATTAAAAGTACGTTTAATAAGCCGAATTAATAAAACCAAAACCATCATAACATAACACCACGCCTTTTATCCCCGAAGGGGTAGGCAGAGGTGCACATTTCGGCACTTAATGCCACTGTAGAGGTACAATGTAACACCCACTTTTTACTATTTATATTATAAGTCCCATGTAATAGTGGTGAGCCTATTGCCATATACTTACCGGGCACATTTCCAGACTCCGTGCTACTATTGAGATTTTGAAAAAACCCAGTATTCCTTTGTCCGACCCGAGAATCAAACCCGAGGCCCCTTGCCCGGCAGTCGCACTTACGACCACTCGGCCAACGAGGCAGTTATAAAATTTATGCATCATTTACCTACTACATTTCCCATATACATTGGAAAGCAATAATCATTTGAAGCTGTTTTAAAAATCATACTTTATTTTTTGACTCATTGACCACATTCAGTTTAATAACTTTTAATTACTAAGAAGTAGATCTGCAATGCGATTTGTTTGTTAGTAAAAATGTCTGTTCAGTTCAGAAACCGTATGAAAGAGCCGTCTCACTGGAACTTCAGAAAGAGTGGCGTTAACTCGGAAAGCGAAAAAAAAACTTCATTTACCAAACAAATAGAAAGTTTTAATTGAAAAACAAAATTTTCGAAAGAAAGGCTTCATTTTCCACGTTTCTTAATAAAAGTGGCGAACTTGATGTCTAATTGAGTGATGTTTTATACAATTCTCTAATTCACTTTTTTATTTTTTGCGGAGGAAAATGAAAAAGTATTTTTATTTTTGTTTATTGAATGAGGAAAAGTGTTTTTTATAGCCGTCGACCGCTAGACATTGGTATATAAAGCTCACAAAAGGTCCCTAAAGTATCAAAGCCCAAAGCAAAAAGCACTTAAAACAGCGACGACTCAAACTGAGTCTCAATAGAGCATCCGTCTTAGTTCACCTTTCATTTCGCGTCTAAAAGTCTACACCGGCTACAACCTTTGGCCAACTGTAAATAGACAAGGCCACGACCCACAAACAACTCGAACAACACTAGCGCTCATCATGCCCTGTTTTCATTCCATATTTAAAAACAGAACCAAGTGACAGTGCGTTTTCCTTATGTTATAAAAAAGAAACGCGTTTGAAAAAAGAATACATTTTTCGCCGTCCCCCATTGAAATTGGTGTTCAATGTCACCCAATTTCTATACGCCTTACACAGCACTAATGCAAAATATTTGGAATTAACAATGAATAAACTTAATAAAGGATAACGTAATACTTTGGCTGCCTCCATAATATGAGCCGTTTGGCTCTTTATAACTTAAAATGGGATACAGAATAACTTGGCTAGCCAAGTAAAAACCTCTGCAATTTAAAAATATAAGAATACTAAAGAGTTTAAGCTACAATGATATAGCATAATTATTATGGATAATAAATTGAAGACAGACTTAATAATACATGCATGAACCCGCATGTAATGTAGTGTGAATGCAATGTGTTTATAATGTTAAAACAAAGAGGTGTCAACTGACATAGTGGCCGTTTTATGGTGAAAACTTAGTTTATGAAACAGGGAACGCGGTAACTTCATTATCTCACCTAGAGTAGAGCGAACGTTAGAAATTTTTGCAACGTTTATTCATCAAACAGCCGGTCCCAACTTTGTTCAGCTTTTGTACTAAAATAATGAACCCAAAAACTTTACTGCCCTGATAACTCCTTCTAAAATTACGCTCAGCTTAAAGTAGAAGTTTACTTTTTTCTTTTTTCGTAATTTCAATTTGTATAGTTTATTACTCCCAAGATGTTTCTTCTGCTCAGTTCGTGGAAAAGAAAATGTTTTTTAAAACACGAACAAATTGTTTGTTTACAATTTCGAGAATGACGAAAGTGTTATATTTTTAAAACAACTTTCGTCATTTTATAGAAACAAAAGCAAAACACGCCTTAAAATTCGATTTATCTGTGGGTATCGAAACCCGTGGACAGACGACCTCATTAAGGTCGCAGGGAACCGCTGGATGCAGGTCGCTTCCAACCGGCCTATCTGGAAGTTTTTGGGGGAGGCCTATGTTCAGCAGTGGACGTCCTGTGGCTGATATGATGATGATGATGATGATGATGATCGAAACCCGTTATGCATATAAGTAACCCGTTAGGCATATAAGTAACATAACGAAGCAGCTTAGAACATAAAAATTAATAACATAATTAAGAACACAATTACGTAGGACCTCGCATTCTAAGTTAGGCGAGAAGTACTTAGATTTTACTTAATTAAATACCTTTTATACGGCGCGTGTACTCCGGTGCCATTATTTAAACTTTCTTACCTGAAACAAATAACGGAAACATTTAATTTACTTTCAAGTTCAAGAATCAACAGTGCTATTGTTTAAGATGAATGAAAGTTCATACAAGTAATTAAGCGAACTGAGAGATTTCTGCTAAATGGATTTTCCTTCTCTTTGATTCTGTACCTTAACTTAAAATAGTTGAGTTAAACGTCGCTTGGATTACTACACTTTATTGGTATTTACTAATAAATCATAAAATATTCTGACTATAATACCCTTTATACAGTACAGCTACACTTAAGACATTTTGTTTGTACACAATATACTATACCCCGAAAGACTAGACACAGATGAAAATTCACAATGAAGTAAGATGACAAGAATTCCCAAAATTCTTTCAAACTAAGTCGAACGTAGGAATGAATATTTCAACTTCGCATCTAATACGAGTAGTTTCAAAACTATTGTACACGATTAAAACTTGTATTTTATAGGGTATATGCCTCGGAATTCTGTGGCACAATCACTTTGTGTTTACTAAAAATAACCAAAGTTATGTGGTATTATCAGTAGTAGCAAACAAAAGTATCTATTAAATATTCTGAAACAGAATAGAGTGTAATAGTGCGCAATGTTCACTGCCCGCGTTTCTGTCTCCACAGTCGGATACACACAAGAGGCTTTATCATTTTCGAAGCTTCCATAAATCGAGCTCCTAGCGGAACATTGCCAGCGACTGGAACATCTGTTGCTCCAATACTGTCCGATAAAAGATGCAATTTGGAAACAATGGCTTTCAAAGTTGAGAAAACTGATATTATCTAGATCCAAGCGAAATGTTACCACAAAATAATTGAATCGTAACATTTAAGTCTATAACAATAACGAATACATTAAATCTAAAAAGAAATCCTTTATCGTCTATGCTGAAATGTTTGCTAAACATGTCTGAGACAAACAGAATCATCCCTATCACCTCTTGCGCGCCTAATATTAATATTTATGCAAATGACAATATTAAAATCATTCTCGGCACGAGCCAGAATATCAATGAAGCATCAAATGCGGCCGAGAGAACCTTTTTCGGTACGCAATCGACACAGAATCGATTTGCAATGAGGTTTTAGCGAAGCCACAATGAAATTATCCGGGCTTTGGGCACCGGATATTAAACACAGATGGGCAGGGACAATCACACGGCAAATAATTCCAATAACGCAACGAAATACACAGTTTTGTCGAACACTCAAATTAATTAACTATTAATTTTGACTGTTTTCAGTGAGTGGTCATTTGTACCACTCTGCACAATAGTAATACCGCTGCGTCTGACAATATTGTAATTAAAATATTTTATATTCAAATCATGAATAGCTGTTAGTAATAAAGCAAAAGCCTACAATAAACGTGAATTTGCTGAATGCAAACCTATGTACTAACTGTCTGATACATAGTTCCGGTAATGAATATTATCGGTAGTCCATTCAGGGGAATGGTAATGAAAGGGCGAAGAGATGAGTGCAATCCGAGAATGTTCCAGTTCTTCATTAGCATACAGATTGATTCACACGCCGAGACGACCGAAATGCTGGTAATGAACCCAATTCAATACACAAGAGTGAATGATTGTGTTACAGGTTCTACTGGTGTGCTTTTGAGCCACCGAGAATACATTTTAATTACGCTTCCGCACTTTTCACAAGAGACCTATTGTAAAACGGCTAATTAAATTCTTTTGATTAACGCTAGCTTAGTCTAGTTATGTACTTACCTTCCTTTCCTTAACTGCTATAGTAGTATCAGTCTTTCCCGTATCCAATTGGTCATTTCTTAACATCGTCTGATCTGTCATAGTACCTTCATCTACTAAAATTTCCCTGCTATTTTTCCTGGCGTGGTTGATAATATCGGGCTTTTCTGTACTCATCAGATTACTCGCGTTCTCATTTGTACAGTTCTCTTTTCCAGATTTTCTGTCTTCGGCTGAACGTGATTTATCTTCGGAACTTTTTATTTTGAAACAAGATATCGATTTCTTATCTTCTTTACCATCGCTCCTGCTAATTGGATCATTTTTATCACGTTTGCGTTCGTCTTTCTTATGGTTCTTCGCGGCTTCAGACTTGAGTCGTTTTTTCTTACCATTCCACTTGGAATTTTTGGATCGATTGCTATCGTCACTTGTGCTGACGCTGTCGGAGCACACGGGGTTAACTAAGATTTTCGTTGATTTAGCTTTTCGTTCTATTTTCCTTAGATTAAGTAAGTTTCCGTTAGAGTTTATAAGGGTTGGCGATGAGTTATGAGACGGAGAACTATCTTTAGTGTCATCGCTTGATCGTCGAACGACTGCAGGAATTAATTTGATGGCTTTCATGGCATCCACAGGGTTATGTCGTATTTTGTGTGTACCAAGTGGCCCCATAGCAACTGGTGATCCTCCTTTAAATAATAACGCTGTCTCCGTTGGCTGACACACACAAGCTAACATTTTCAATATTCATTTACTTAACACTATTATCACTCACATATTTGGTGTTGGTGTAACGACACGAAACTATGCAAAGAAGAAGGATTATAACAATATGATTTTTGGCTGATAACCTCTTTGATTGAATACAGTAAAGCAACATTTAACGCGGTTATAAAGACAAAACTGCAATGCGAACTGAGTTACATGCGACCGTACGTGAGACGTTTACACAAGCACTACGTACGAATGTAATAATATGTCTCATAATGCATCACAGATATATGACGCGTTTATTAAACTTCCCGCCTGTCGCGGAGACATGTTATTTCTAACTGAATAGCGTAATCATCACAAACATTTGGATGCTCGTCGTGTTTCTACTTTGAACTGACTTCCTCAATTTAACATCACAATACATACAAATTTGGAAAACGACCAAATTGTGTAAAGAACAACTGGGATTAATGGAGATTGTCTGAACAAAAACTTTTGAATCGACGCATTGAAAACGTCAAATCCCACTGAGAAAGTATTTGCATGTAACAATATTCAAAGTCATTTATAGAGTTTACTGAATAAAATAAACCAAAAGTGTACCGCAAACATTTTGTCCCCGAATCCTTTCTCTGGGGAGGAAAAAGTTCAAAAGCCAGTTACTGCTTTATTCCGCGTATACTCGTATACGTACTTACGCCACGAGTGAAAAGTTGACTTTATCGGATTTTCTGCTCGGCCATGTCACAATGTCTTACCGACGTTTGTATTTATCGTTGTATAGATCTGTAGCGGTACCAATACACTGCTTCCTTAGTGGGTTTGCCCTATTTTCAATCCTATTACGTTATTTTTTTTGAAAAAAGAAAGTGAAAGCAATATTTTCTAGTTGTCAATACAACTTTTTGTTCAGTCTGTTGATATACAGTCACATTTGGTTTAAATTGAAGTGCTAATTTATGTTTAGAATTCATATCGATACTCGTGTTGCAATATGGAAATACCCCTCACATTTATCATACATTTCCTTTCCCTTCCTAAAAGCATTTCATAAAAGCGTCCACAAGAGCCCGTCCCTACTTGCATAATTATATGAATAATCAATCAGGAAAGAGCAATAAAAGTGAATCGTTTGAATACCAAACGTTTGTTATGGAACGAATGTTCAGACGTTCGGTAACCGTAAAAAACAACAATTGTACCTATTCCCCTCAACCTTTCCTTTGAAGAACGATAGCTCATGAAATTTTGTCACGAAAGAATAAAAAGGACTCTATACATATAAAATGATTCAAAAAAGAAAAGAAATGTATATGTACTAACCTAACAACAATTTTACGTAGGACAAAAAGAGCAAATCGTATTTCTATTGACAAAATTAAAACTTACAAGATTTATTTAATGGAGACATCAATCAACAAATATATTTAACACCAATCGCGATTCACGAACGACGCCACCCTACGATTATTCTCATAATGATGATCATTTTTAAGACGAGAGTGACGTAAGTGGATAGTGCTATGCAAAATTTGCACGTTGGGAATTCTATACTCGCCGAAATATCTAGGCATGGTCAGGTGTAGTGGACGGAATGCTTAATATTGAGTCTACGAAGACTGCCAACTATGTAGGCTTTCAAGGCTTTTATATTTTGTTCCATCTAACTGGACTAGGTTTTACTCTAATAACCGTATTATACCTAATTAAATTTTCACCAAAACTTAATAATAATTTTCAATAAACTATGATCGAAAAAGCCGACTTTAATCTGCTTCGAAATTGATTTATCTAATCGCGAGAAAAACTCGGAACAACATAAATACATCCTTCTTCTTTTTTGAAGTCGGTTAAAAATCCGATTTTTGTACACAGTAAAGTGATGAAGATAAATCTCATAGGCTTTAATAAAATATGAGTTTAATATACGAGATATACCGAAAGGATTTTCATAACGAAAATGCCATGCCATGAGCCAAGCACAAAGGCATCGAGGAATGATATTTCAGGTTCCACATTGTTGAGAACTTTAATTTGAAACTTTGTAGAATCGTTGTAAAGCATTTATATTGCACGGAATCAAATTGGACCATTTTATTTTGAACATTTAATTATTTAAATATTGAATCAACGGCGAATTAAAAATGTTACGAATTCAATGCAAAGGAATTCCAATTGATTTTAATAGATATGTCATGTGATCTTAATAAAATTATTTTCAAAAAATCTAAGTTTGAATATAATAGTAAGTCGGTTTGTTTGTCGAGTTCTTACGCAAAAAACACTGAACAGATATCAATGAACTTCAATATAGAAGTAGGTGTAGGTTTGATAAAATGAAATCATGATCAAAACCTAGTTACGCTATACATTTTTTTCCAGCTTTATTCGTTTTCGCTATATTTTTCTTAGACTTAACTCGTCGAGTACCGGTTTTGTAGACACAATTATAGAACAATAGGTTGCGGCCACCGGTGACCGCTTGGTGTTTGACAGTTTAAAGCTAAATTTTCAATAAATTACAGTGAACTAAGATTACTAAGGGTTGTCAACCTTGTACAAAGTCTCTAACGTTAGATATTGCTGAGAGCAAGTGCGCACATTTAGGGCGCACGGCACTGTTACATCGGAAGTAGGCTCGGAAGCCAAAGTGTACCAAGTTCCCCCTCCAACCCCACTTCCTATCCCCCCTATCCCCCCTATCACCTTTCATACAGCATCAACTAGTTCGGAGCTAGACAACTTAAAGTTTTCCAAATAGGAAATTACCTACTTTGTGTTGAGCGAACAGATACATTATGGAAATACGTAATGTCTAGCTTTTTGTTACGACTTCAAAAAGGAGGAGGTAAGTTAGTACGTTTTTGTCTGAGGCTGTGCGGTACGCATAAGAGTACATAGTAGGTAAATCTACCTACAACATGAATTCGTTGCAGATATCAAGCATAAGTCAAGCCTTTGAATTATTGCGATTATTTAAAAAAAGAACCTCTAAGAACGTGAGACTCCTTACTTGGCAGTCGTAAATTCATAATCGCAACCATGCAATGCAATCTAAAGTAACATATAAAATTTTTAAAACAGTCTCATTAGTTAAAAACTATTCATTCACATCTGGAATACTAATGCGTCGCGAGCTCTATTTAAAAGTCCATTCGTAAAAATCCCATTGATTCACTCGCGGAAACACTTCACTTTCGAAATAAAGGTCCAGGAAAAGCCCATTAAAACAGCGTTATTATTCAACCCAACGTTCTAGCGGAAAATTAAGAAGAATTTCTCACACAATGGTTAGTGAAATTGCTTGTAACTTCGCAGAACCATTTTTTATGCTGTGACATCAATCACAAGAAAGTTTAGTCCTCGGCGCAACGCCTGTTAATTGAAAGTTATTGCACGGAAAATATCACAGTATTCCTCGCTGTTTTTAACTTTATATCCAGCTATAAGAACGAAATTCTAATTTTCTCTTCTTCCATGGTGTCTTTGAAAACAAACAAATTGCCAAGAGCTTAGCGGCGCCGTAAATTCAATTTCATAAAAATTTACTTATGTATTGAAGGTAGCTGTGGTAATAATAAGCTTAGGAAAAGCAGTTGTATTTTTCATCAGTATATTTATGTATTTAACAAAAAAAGCGATAAAATTAAAAATAAAAAAATATATAAAATCGTATCCTAATAAATTAACTTACTAGATAGATCACTAATTACAAAACTGAAAACGTTTCACGAAATTTTTATTGGAATAATTAATTATTGAAACTGTTTATAATCATCATTAACTTAATTTGCGTGAGATAAGAATCCAATTAGTGCAGGACGGAATATTTTTAATTAAGAAGGTATGTGCCGGTACCTACGTACCAAAAGATGCGACAGTTTTGTGATTAATTAGGGAAAATGACGTGTATTAAGGCTATAATATACTGACGAGGGATTATTCAGTGATCAAGTTCTGGTAATTACTTCACACTGTCTTTTGTATGTGTTTACTAAGGCATTGTGTATACTTGACGTAGTGACATAGCGGTATTGCTTTATGACGAGTTTTATTTAGTTTTCTACGATCGGTATTATTCTATTAAATTGGACGCGGTATCTACAGTACGGTGTGTGTGTGTGTGTGTGCGTCCTCTTGTTTCTTTTTTATTTTTTTATACTTAATAGTGCGACGTTTGCACTCCATCTCGCCTGGTGGTAAGCGATGATGTAGCCGACGATGTATGGACATATGTATTAAATATTAATATTGTATTTTTTGTGTACTTCATATCGTGTCGATTGCAACTATATAATTTTCAGATGAAATCTTGTTCGTTTTTGACCAAGTTGCGTCATTTTAATATGCTTTTAATAGATAACTTTTAAAGTCCATTAAATGTAATCCTACCCTAAGGTAGGACCGTCCAGTCACACTCACGTGTGAATGGCGCTGAAGTATGTTCATGAATCATGAAGGATGGGTTCTGCCATCGATCCCTGCCCAATTAGACAGAGATTTAATTATCGCACCCGCATTGAGTAGTCCAATGTGAACCTGTCTTTATGTAGGACGTTTAATTTATTAATTTTCCTTTACACTGCTCGTTGTTAATGGGGATAGAATATCTCTGTGACGAGATATAAGGAGTTTCGTTGTAGTTCATTTTTAATTTATTTTAATGGGTAGAGGGTTTTTTGTGCCTGGTAACAGACTATCTTATAAAAGTTCTCTGTGGGTTCCTTCGGGAGATAAAAGTATATATTTTTAAAGGGGGGAAAATCATCGAATGACTGCTCCCGCCTGGGTGAGGCGGGAGGGAGTGTCAGACTCTTATTGACTAAAAACCACCCCGTTCCTTCTCCTGCACGTCGAGCCGGAGCCCCGGTTACCCGTTAGGTTCTAAGCGACGGATATAAGTGTATTATGTTGCTTTTAAATATTAAAAAAAGTCTTTTTGTAATGATAAGAAGTGAAAAATTTAAAGAACTGATTTTCATCACACAGACTCAAAGAAAGTAGTGTAATTGGAATGGAATATTTCATAAATTAATCAGATTGAAAAAGTTTTCAAGTGAATGAATTCCGTTGTCGACAACGAAACCCGACACTCGACGAGGCGATGGCGACAAGTTTGGTTTTCTACAGAGTTGAATTTTCATTAAGTTTCTGTCAGTAACGCCATTTTGTTATTTCCCTGAATTAATAATAGAACACTTGATGACACTCCCTTTTAATTTAACTAATTATGTAGTGTCACAGTGACTTAATATTATTTGTTTGTTTGTGTGTGTCTGTGTTGTACGGAACAGCGACTTGTTTTAAGTGAGGTTATTTCATTTCGAAGACCTATTGAAGATAATAATATTGTATTCAGTAGAGAGCCAGAGAGCTCTTATTTAAATGAATTTAACTTAAAATGATTTCATTTCAGAACTGTAACACCAATCAAATCAATCGTAAATGAAACTCCTTATTACATAGCCTTCTCTACAGTCAATCGTTCATCTTACTAATAGCTAAACATTTCAACTAAATTAAACGCATTGTTCTATCCTCATATGAAAATAATAGCAATTTATTATTAACTGCAATCTCGCCAGCCAATTCCACGGTAATGAGATAAATCTACACCACGCTCTCACTCATCCCCCTAATTGGTGTGTTACTTATGGCAGTGTATTAACAAAATTATGTGTATCTAGGCTTATTTGATCAAACATTTGTTTAAAATCGTAATGGTATTTTTAAAAATGTTTTACATTTTAAATATGCAGGTAAAATGCCTTTAACATCCAGCAGGAACCACTTGAGAAAGAGGTATGATTCAGTGGAAGGACATTGTAGACTTGAAATTAAATTCCTGGTCTGTAGACACTCAACACAGATTTAGAGACGTTTGTTCTCCGGTCAAAAGTCCGATATTGCAATTTCAAAATCCTCACAAAATGTAGCCCTACAGCATAATGTGATTCCGGTTATCATACTTTAACATTCCATCAATACTCGAGCCTAATTGTGTTATACTACCATTGTAATTCAGACGAACCTTTTGCCAAACAAAGGACATAATTCTAAACTCCGTCCTATTGGGAATATTGATATATTCAATCAGTACAAAGCGTAAGTCAATTTACAGCCATAACCTTAAATCTAATAGGCTTAATAAATAATTCGGTATGCATAGTGTGCGAATCCAATCTAGTGACTATAGAAAACGAGCGTAGTTTTAAACAGTCGTAAATCAATTTCGGTTGAAACCTCTAATTGAGTTACGGGAACAATTCAGACGGAAGATATCGGTTAAGGTAATTTCGCTTCACCTAAATTGAATTTTTGCTCCATACACGTGCTAAAACGTTGGCTATTAAATAATGCACAAAACAGAAGGTCGTGAAAATTGCTTTCATCCATTATAGAATATTAATTATCCTCAAACTGAATTGTCCAAACGAGCGTGATTTATTTTATAAAGATTATCTATAGGAGATTGGTCGATAGAAAATGCGGAACTTGAGGGTGTCTATTGTCTGCTCTGACGTTCAGGATACTTAGATTTACGGTGTTTTGTTTCTTTTGTTTTGATTAACTGGATCTGGTGTTTGGGATCATTCTATTCAATTCAGGTCTTAGAATCAAGTTGGCACTACGTAATCGATCGAATCAAACAATTTTCATAATCATCATCGTCATCATTTGTCCATTTCTTTTCCACATGTGAAAGAATTTAGAGGATGATAAAGTACATAAAGTTTGACTAATTCAATACTACTTAGCTTTTTCTTTTTTTGTAGATCTTGGTGTTTATTACAACCGGTGTTACGTATACGTATAAACTTAAGAACTTAATAAGTATCTCTCACAAAACTTGAACCAAGTTTAGTATGTAGAGAGACTATACTTAGAATATACTTTAACACCATAACTTAGTCGACAGTATGGCGTCGTATGGCAACAATGTAAAGTACTCCTTAGTAGAAGTTTCAACTCATATCATCTTTAGTAGGAATTAGCTCAGCGAGCTTTAGGGCGCGTTTAAAGAGATAGAAGTTACGAATATGTGAGTATCAAATAAAGAAGGCCAGTTTAATTTTCTTTTTATTACTTCTGCGCTTTTCTATTCAAATTCTTATGCTACGACTCTTAGAGCCTGAATAAGTTGTTGTTGTTTGAGCTGATGCATTAACACAATTTTTATTTTACGTTGTTGTGTTATGACTACGCCTGATTCTTAAAGAATGTTCTGATTACTCATCAGTTTGACTAACAGTAACTTAATCAGATATAAACAGGCCCTTAGTCGCAGAAAATGGAGGAAAAATTTGCGATGAAAAATTAATCATTTTAAGCATTTTTACTCATAATTCCTATGATATGTTAATGGTCATGTTCCTTGTATCTAACAATTTTCTTCATGAATCATACGAAGCGACGTGTCCCTTAAAGATAAGATTTAAATTATGACAAAAAAGTTTGCAAAAAATTAAAAACTCGCTTTGTTTACATCCGCCTCAATAAAACCGCAGCCTTACTCCAATGTTCCGCTCCATTGACGCTCATGAAGACTTAAAGGTTGCTGGCGGAAAATTATATCATACCGCCATTCAACTTTGATAGTTTTATAACTAGTTGATGAAGTTTCAATTGGAGTTTTGAAGATATGGAATTAGTGTCGGCGCATTAGTATGGCCATCGACCATAGAGGCGGCGACGCGCGGGACGGGGTATAAAAACCCACGGCCGCGCGAGCGCCGCGCTTCTTCTTCATCGACACACGCCAGCCATAGCATTCGGGCATTTCTTTGTATCGGTGCGAGCCGGTCTTGATTCTGATATATGTAATAATTAAACCTATTAATTGTGCAGTCTTCTGTTTTAATTTAAAATAACCCGACAGAGCTACGACAATTTGGTCCTTCGAGCTATTAAGTTGCCCAGTAAAATTTTGCAAATCATTATCAACGTCATCGGTCATCGTGTGCGCGTCGAGTGAACTTTGTATCCCGCGCACCACGTCGCCGAAAGCACAAAGAAGTCGTCCCCGAAGCAGACTACGTGGTCACCGTGGAAGCCGATGTCATTCTTGGGAGTATAATACTGTATTTGAGTGAGTCGTTCCAATTAGTTACTTTCCAAAACTTTCATCTTGCCAAAAAATCGTTTCCCAGCTTCCCATAACTTTCTTTAACAAGTAGCCCGTATCTCATTTCAAATAGTGCTTGTAATACTGCAGTTATTTGCTTACGTATCAATAACTCACGTATAAATATTCCATAGTTACAAAAACTAGTTTGCTAACGAGGTACGAACACGTGTCACATCGTGAATCTCGGTACCTTTTCTTATCGCACAGCTGTTTTTGCATACATTCCTTTAACTTATTAATACTTGTTTAACCAGTTTATATTTAATCCTATACTATTTTATCATGGCAGACAGTTTAAAGACTTTAATTAAGAAACGCAGTTCTGTAAAATCGAATCTCACGATTTACAACAATTATTTAACATTAATTAAAAGTAGTGCCGCTATTTCACAGTTGCAGCGTCTAGATTTGGAAGAACGCTTTATTAAATTCCAAAGCTTACACGCCGAATTTGATGATTTACAGACTCAAATTGAAGTGCTTGCCGACGATGCCGAGTCTACGTTTACTGAGCGTGAGGACTTTGACCGCCAGTTCTTCAGTCTGGTGGCACTCACGCGCAGCCTGCTCGGTGCTTCGAACAACGGTGTCGGGTCGGAGGCTGGCTTCAAGGATGCTGACTCAGGTGCACATATTTCCTCACGGAATAATTTTGTTCGTTTGCCAAAAATAGAATTGCCACATTTTGATGGAAACTACCAATCCTGGCTTGAGTTTCGAGATACTTTTAGTTCATTGGTTCACGACAATGCTAGCATCAACGCCATAAACAAGTTCCACTACTTGCGAGCTTCACTCCAGAGCAAAGCGGCCTTAATAATTAAAAACATTGATTTTAAGGCCGAACATTATCAACTTGCATGGGACCTTCTATGTGAAAGGTTCAATAATAACCGTCTTCTTGTGGACAACCATTTGCGAGCTTTATTTGATGATGTGGAACCAATACTTATGGAATCAAGTGTTGGTATAAGAAATTTAGTTGATCTAATTAATAAAAATATTAGGGCACTGACAACATTAAAAAAGCCTACACAACATTGGGATTTAATTATAATTTATTTTATGGTAAAAAAATTAGATAGCATTACTCGTCGTGACTGGGAAGAAAATAGGAATACTGCTTTAAACAATGATGATCCTACTTTACAACAATTTTGTTCATTTTTAGGCAAGCGAGCCGACTGGTTGGAATCTGTTGAATCGAATAATTGTTCTTCAAAACATAATTCTATTGTAGCCTTAAACAATAGTCATATAAATAAAATTAATTCTAAAACTAATA